TTAAGGACTATTTAGAAAAGCTGGACATAAGCAAGTCCATGGGGCCGGATGCACTGCACCCGAGGGTGCTGAGGGAGTTGGCTGATGTGATTGCAGAGCCATGGGCCATTATCTTTGAAAACTCATGGCGATGGGGGAAGGTCCCGGACGATTGGAAAAAGGCAAATATAGTGACCATCTTTAAAAAAGGGAAGAAGGAGAATCCAGCCTCACCTCAGTCCCTGGAAATATCATGAAGCAGGTCCTCAAGGAATCCATTTTGAAGCACTTGGAGGAAAGGAAGGTGATCAGGAACAGTCAACATGGATTCACCAAGGGCAAGTCATGCCTGACCAACCTGATTGCCTTCTGTGATGAGATAACTGGCTCTGTGGATATGGGGAAAGCGGTGGATGTGATATACCTTGACTTTAGCAAAGCTTTTGATACAGTCTCCCACAGTATTCTTGCCAGCAAGTTAAAGAAGTATGGATTGGATGAATGGACTATAAGGTAGATAGAAAGCTGGCTAGATTGTCGGGCTCAACGGGTAGTGATCAACGGCTTGATGTCTAGTTGGCAGCTGGTATCAAGCGGAGTGCCCCAGGGGTCCGTCCTGGGGCTGGTTTTGTTCAGCATCTTCATTAATGATCTGGATGAGGGGATGGATTGCACCCTCAGAAAGTTTGCGGATGACACTAAGCTGGGGGAGAGGTAGATACGCTGGAGGGGAGGGGTAGGATCCAGAGTGACCTAGACAAGGCCTGGCTTGACAAAGCCCTGGCTGGATGATTTTGTTGGGATTGGTCCTGCTTTGAGCAGGGGGTTGGACTTCTTGAGGTCTCTTCCAACCCTAATCTTCTATGATTCTATGATTTGGCCCATTGAGGGGTACTGGATACTGAAGTATATGAATAGTTGGAGTAGAAATATTAATTTCTATTTATTAACCATTAGGGTCCATTTGTGCAGTAATAGAAATAGTGCCCGGTTTGAGGGGCGTATCTCTAAAATATTGCCTGACAGGTGGGTAAGTTACTGGGGGTGATGTGTAATACACTTGAAATAGTATATCAGATATGCCTTTTGGGAGAAGGCATTGTGTGAAAGGTTGAGCGCAGGATTGGGAATCAGGAAATCCTGAGTTCTAATCCTGACTTTGCCACTGACTAGCTGGGTGACTTTAAGTGAAATGTCTTGCCCTAATTTTTCCATCTGTAAAATGAGGGCAATATCCACTTGGCACATTAGAGGGCGTGTGAGGATTAATGAATGTTTGTGAAGTGCTTTGAAAATGTAGGAAGCAAAGAACTGTCTTTTTCCCCCAAAAGCATTGCTTTCTAAGCTATGGTTTGGGACGAAACCCCCCCCCCAAGCTATTTGTTCAGTTTTTCTGTTTTGTGAAAGTCTAGAGCTTGTTTGAGCTGAAAAGTCATAAAGCATAACAAAGATTTTGTTTGTGAACATTTAAAAAAGAAAACCAAACCTTATTTCTACTTGACTTTTTTGATCAGGCCAAGACCATGCTCAGAAGCCGGGTGCTCTCTGTCCTGGTTTCAAAACCAAGCTACAATCCAGCTATGGATTTCTAAGGTTCTTATCACCTATGTGAGTCTGCTATCAGAGTAGGATTGAAAGAGCAGAAGTTTTAGCATCTAGCCTGGAAGCAGTTACATTAGAACAATACATACGGATAGTTACATTGTGTAGAACAGCTGTATGGTAGTGGACCAGGCTAAGCCATGAGACAGTCTCTTTGCTAAACAAAGATCAAAAACCTGTGGTGGTTTCTTGTACTGTGTGGATTATATGCTTAGAATGCTTCCAAGGACTTTGCAAATTCTTTAGATTTAATACACATCCTTGAGAATTCCTTTAAAGGAGGGAGTATAGTCTAGTGATTAACGCTGGGGACAGTAGGAACCAGGACTGTTTAGTTCTTTTCTTGACTTTGTCACTGATGCAGTGTGCCCTTCACTTCATGTCTCTGTTCCTCAGTTTCCTTATCTGTAAAACAAATACTTACCTCACAGGAAGGTTGAGGGTTAATTGTAAAATGCTGGAGGCTTAGATTGTAGAAGTGCAGGGTAATAATAAAATACAAGAGATAACTTAAATATTAAAACAACTTGGCAGTCTCCCTTTAGGAGATGCTGCAGAACCTTCCATTTTGGCAAAGCCTTTCAGTCATCACAAGAACGACACAATAACCCCTCCTTCTACCTGCCCCCTTCTCCCTAAAACCCCCTCCCAAAAACAAGCATGGACACCCAAAATTAATAAATCAACCAACCAAAAATCTAACCATACTCCAAGCAGAAATTTTAATAAAGCAAAAAGGGATTCATGAAGTCGTCTAGAAACTCTGCTATTGCCAATCAGTTTTACATAGAAGGTTCTCAGTTGCTATGGTGATAGAAGTAGCATATTACCAAAATATACAAAATATTAAAGGATAAAACTATTAATAGAAATATTATTACTAAATTTAAAGAGTGTCAATGAAAATACTTACACAGTTTCCTGCAGTGTATGTATTGGAAACTTTGTAGCATTTTGCTAAAGTAAAAACCAAGAAGTTAAATTAACCTGGTTTTTGTGACCTAGCTCAGTTAAATGAAGAATTGGGGAAGGGAGAAATACATTTAAATCCTTTGTTTTAAGAACTGACGTGTTAGTAACACAATTGAGAAGTTTAAGACACTTTACTTATCTCTTTAGGTAGGATAGGGAGCAGAGAACTAGCTGGTGCTTGCATGGAAAAGCTTGATGACACACCCCTTTGCATTTCTTTCCTATACATTTAAATTAAATACTTTTCTTAAACCTGTTATAAACTTTCAGAAAGAAGTGAGTGAAATGCGTAATGAGTATAAATAGCAGTGTAGCCACAGTAGCACGTTTAGCAGCAGCAGAGGCATGGGCACTGGTTTTAGGTGGGTTTGAACTTGGCACAGCTAAGCGTTCTATTGCCCGTGCTGGTGCTGCTGCAGCTACACTACTGTTTGTACTCCCACTATCATGTGGACACGAGCAGGGGAATCACACCCTTAGCTCGTAGTGTATGTGTAGCTGTAGACTCGAGTTCAGATCAATTAAATGCAGGCTTTGATTGTGGATGTTCATACTTAAGTGAATTCCAAGACTGGGTAGAATCTCTTGACAAGGCTCTCTAAAGACTCTAGAAAGTCATGCTGGCTGGTAGCTCCAAAGGCTTAGTATCTGTCAGCATTCAAGAAAGTAATTAAAAAAATACTGGCAACTTAAGATAGGTAATGATTACAGCTGTGATTTGTGAAATGAAGACTGGAAAACCACTTGACAGACCACTTGATAGCAAGGTCAAGAGCATGTCTTTTCATTTAATAAACTGATCTTCATTTTGGTCTTGCAGTACTCAGAGATGTCTTGCCATTTCATTAGATTGCCAGACGTGGTAAATCATGTAGCAATGTTACATGGCAAAACAGTTGAGATTTCAACAAGTTACTTGCCCCTTGGAATGTTTTATTCTTTTGTAACGTCTTTCACTTCCCTGTGAATGGGGAATGTGATATGAAGCTTTTTAAAATACCTCACTTTTCAGAGTGGCTGCATGTAGTGCCCGCATTTGGTAAAGATTAGACTCATAGACTCATAGACTTTAAGGTCAGAAGGGACCATTATGATCATCTGGTCTGACCCCCTGCATGCTGCAGGCCACAAAACCGTCCCCACCCCTTCCCTGGACTCTGCTGTTGAAGTCCCCAATCCTGTTTTTAGTGACTGCAATCGGCAGAGACCCTCCTGCTAGAGAAGATGCAAAACAGTTTCCATTCAAACTTCTGTTTTCACATGTTCATAACTTCCTAAAATGTTTATTTTGGGGGGGGAGGAAATCTTCCATGTTTGATCTCTGCTAGAATGTGAAACTTACTTGAAGCAAAATTTCTTCAGCTGGTACAGACATGATGCGGTCTGCAGTTCCTGGAAGCATTATTACTGTGCCACCTTTTGCAAACGTGCAATGCGTGCGCCCCCAGGGAAGTCTCCACTGGTGGAGGCACATCCCTGGCTCTTCCCACTCACTTGGGAGAGATTTGTCCTGCTGTCACAGCTAACCTCATGAAGTCCTTGTGCTTAGATTCATGCAAGGACCAGATTATGTGCAGCTTCTTCTCAGGGCTGTAGGGTTGTGGTGGAGAGGAAGGCTCATTGTGTTGTTTCTTTCTCCCCCATACCCTCTCCCTTTTACACTTGCATAAAACCAGGCACAATCCAGCTCTGATTGTTCTAAAGCCTTTTTTGGCAAGTGTTCATTTGGAAGCATTTATTCAGTACTATCAGAGGCTGTTATCCTAAATTTATTTTATGCATTGTAAAAGGTCCATTAATTAGCCTCCAATCCTCCAAACACGTACGTGCATCCGTAGCTTTACTTAGGCAACTAGTTCCATTGAACTCACTAGAACTATGTTTACATTTTGTAATTTTGTCGTCAATTGAGATCTGCCTCTATGATGTTAAATGGACACACTTTTAGGTAATTTAGGCTCAGTAATTAGATTTTGTGCATGCTTTTTAACAAAAAGGCTTTTATAGATCCCTCTAATTAGAAATATTTTGCTTCATATTTAAATGGTTCCCGTGAAATTTTCACAGATCAAACCTTGCGACATTGCATTAATGCATGAAAACCAAGACGTGAAATTGACTAGTCAGTTTTCAGTGTCTAAGCTGAGTGATATAAAAAGTAAGTAGAGTAAATATTGAAAATAAATTATTTTTTAAAAATTCCCCTCGGTGATATTAATAACACCGAGAAGGGGGTTGGGCAGGAGGAGGGAGAAACTGTCGTAGAAATGGTAATTTTGCTTTAGAGTAAATGAGGGTGGGGGCGGGACTTCAGCAAGTTTCTATGTCCTGCCCTCCTGCCACAATTATCTTTGGGACCCAGAAGGTGCTGTCAGTGTACTGGTCAACAGCACATTGTGACATAAGCATTTGTTTGAGTGCCTTGACTATACAAAATAGATATTAAAATCCTCAAGCAAAACATGAACAAATATCTTCATTATTTATTAACCGTGGAGAAATCAGGTAATTCTTTGAAATTTTTATTATTGTATATTTGGAGTTGGCTTGTGAGTTGATGTGGATTTCAGTACATGAAGCAGTTATAGAGAAATGCTTTCTACAAGCAAACTTTTGTCTATTGAAGTATTTTTTGCATTAACGTCATATTCTATCACTCAGAATAGAATTACGTCTAAATAAATAACTACCCAAAACCTCAGTCCTGTTCTGGAGGTTATAGATACATAATATTTCCCATATTTTTAAAAATCTGACCCTTTTCTGAGAAGCGAACTCATCGGTTCCATGCTTAAAACCACTTGAAGAATGTTGTACTTACTAATTGTGGTATCTGGAAAGTTTGAGCGGCAGGTGTTTGAAAATAGTAAATCAGTTATTTTGTTCTAATATAGGCTTTGAGTCAGTGAAATGTGTGGTGTTTTTTATACAGTTTGAGTTTTGTTTTTAGTCAAACTTTTTCATAGGTAACTTGTATTTTTTTTAAATGTAACACCCTCAAGTTTGAAAACTGCTCTTTTTATGTCAGTTAACTTTAGTTTTGCTCTTCTAGAAGTCAGAATTGCTGACTTTCCACTGAAGTACTACATCTTTTTAATTAAGTGCTGCACAAGACATAGAAAAGAAGGTTGTTTATACCCTAAAGAGTTTAAAAAATAAAAAGCAGATACTGAGAAGAAAGGACATAATGAGAAACCCAGAGGGAGGAATTGACTTTGAAGATTAAACAGAGAAAAAATTGTTGCTTCTGGTGGCCGTTGTGGCAAAAGTGAACTTTTAGGAGATACTTGAATGAGAAGAGAGGATATCAGAATATTTAAAAGATTCTTATTTTGGTTCTGCTAATTGTAACATCCTAATAATTATTTGAAGTAGCTGTCTTAAGTTGACATGCCGTTTCTGTAGTGGGCTCTGAAAACTTTACAGGTGCTTTTGTTTTCTGGAATCGGAGAAAATTACTCTCAGCTCGTGCTTTTTCAAAATAGTTAATTTAAACTTTATTTTTTTAATACTAGAGGGAAAATAATTGATTTTAAGCTAGGCCAATTAGAGGTCTTTAGATTTCCTTTTTAAGAATGTAAACGTATTTAAGATCCTGTCACAGGGCGTAAAATAGTTACCAAACTACTAGTCAGTCTGGTACAAAAGATTAGGGGTAGGAAGGTCACTTTGATCCAAGGGCAACAGTCCCAGTATTTACTTGTCTTCCCTTTGTGCACTCTTTTTCTGTTAAGTACACTAGCACTCTTTAAATATAGTTTTATATTTAAATTCTCTGTGATGTTCTAGCCCAACTTTGAAAATTTCCTTCTTACTGAGAGTCTCCCCCTTGGAAAGATTTTTCCCTGCCATAAAGCTTGATGTTAATCTGGTGGTTTTTGTATACTTGTATCATTCACATCACCACAGCCCAGGGGCATTAATAACAGTTGCAATGGAAGGAGCATAAACTATTGTTTTTGTATACGCCTGACAAACAGTGGAAGCTGTCAGTTATTTTTTGTATCTGTTATTTTGACCTCTTGCATCTTTTAGCAATAAAGATTTAGCTGACATCGAGGAGGTCTGTGTGAGGCAGCATAGAACTCAGCAGCCTCTTTCACCGCAGTATTATCTCTGAAAGTGCCATGAGAGTAAAGCAAGCACTTGGTTAGATATGCCTTCTTGTGAACAGGAAGCAAAAAGAGAACTGTCAAGGAGATGTTCTTGGTAGAGACTGTTGACCTTGCTCGCTTTGGTGGCTTCTTAAGCCTTATCTTTACTAGGAAAAAAGGTGGCTTTTTACCATGTGTTAGTGAACGTATGGTAAAATATAGCATTTATTTTGACCTGCTAACATGTTAAAACCCTGCCTTGTCCACAGCAAGTTAGCTAAGATGGGAGGAGGAGATGCAAACTAACCCTTTTTTCCTAGTGTGGATGGTGGGACGCTGCATTCCATGTTCTTCATAGTGATACTAGTCTGATTAATTATATCATAATGATGTATTTTATGCAAGGTAAGGCATGTGAGGTGTCATTGGAAAGGTAATGGTTTGCTGAATATGATATCTTATTTGTTTGCAGGTATTTTTGTATCTGAAGTTATGAATATTGTCTGTGTATGTATTTCACGTGTAGCTAATCCAGGGCAATGCCCACTAGGCAAAATGCTCTCAGTCTAGATGGCTGGCTGGGAAGGGCCCATTCAGGTTAATGAGCCATTAGAAAGAAACAATAGGCCTTAGGAGAAGCTTCGCTCCCACCTGGTGAGCCTTCCTGTGAGCGCTCCAAACAGCCCGTGGGGAATGGCTGTGGGACATGTGACCAGGTCACCTGGTGCTGGACTCCATCTTGGGATGTCAGTATTTTTCCACTGACTGGTGCGGGAACCAAGCTTTGAAACAAAGGGTTCCTGCCATTTGCAAAAGCTATAGAAGGCAGGGGAGTGACATCATCTTGGTTGTCCACTGACTCACCACCCAAGAAGACTCCTGGAAACACCTGAGAAACAAAGACTGAACTGGGGAAAGTGCTGGACCCAGGCTAATGGGATTTTCAGCCTATGAATGGAACACATGGGGATTCCAAGCTTTAAACAAGCGTAGCTTGCCCCTTAAGAGTCTGCAGCCTGCTTGTGTCATCACTTAGAGTGCGGATCTGCTCTTCGTAGCCAGTCTATTTAGTTTATTTTTGCGTTTTTGTTTATCTGCTTTGATCTGTTTGCTATCCCTTATAATCACTTGAAATCTATCTTTTATAGTTAATAAACTTGTTTTTGCTTTATCTAAAACCAGCGTGTGGGAATCATAACTCGGGGAGAGAGCTGTTGCATAATCCCTCTCCACATTGAGGGAGGGGGGGAATTTTATGAGCTTACGCAGCACAAGACAGTATAATTTTGGGTTTATACTCCATAGGGGGTGTGTTCCTTAGGAGCTGGGAGGTGCCCTAGCTGAAGCCTTCCCATGCAGGGGCTGGTTAAAGAATCTGTCTGCATGTTCTGCAGCTGGGTGTGTGTCTACCTGTATGTATGCTGGTGAAAGTGCGGGCTGAAGCCTGGAGGGTTGGCAGCTTGTCAATAGCAGTACTGTACAGTGCAGAAGGGAGCCCAGGCTGGTGAGTCGGGGGGCTCAGTGGTACCCCAGTTCCAGGTAGCACCCTGGCGGGAACCCGTCACAGATGCACCCTTGAAGCCTGAGTTTAAAGGGGGCGCTGCCACTTTGAAATCTACTCAGTTTAAAACATAAGTTAAATAAATTAGATACTGTGTCTGCCCAGACTCCCCTGCCAATGATTTTACAATTACACTTTGCCTTTTTAAAAAATAATCGTGTTTCTCTGTTCCCTGTTGCTGTGTGAAAGATCCACACAGACAGGAGAAACTGCTTGTCTATACAGGAAAAAGCCTGGAACTTACAATACACTAAGTGCTGTCAGATGTGCTAGGTAAGCAAACTCGAAAAAATATAGCGCTGTTTCTCTAATCTTTCACTTAGACACATTCGGTGTTACTTGTAACAATAGTGTGTTAAAATCAGACAATTTAAGTGATTGAGGCAATTTTGTCAAATCTCTTGCTAAGGCATTGTCTTCTTTAATTCTTCTGTTTATAAATTGATACTTGTGTATGTTTGTAATGCGCTTGGATGCTATTGCATTAGGTGCACTGTCAGTGAATGAATAAACATGCAGGTAAGACTTGCACACAAGGAGCAGGTACATTGAATAAGAAGGGATACATTGTGAGTTTTCTGACTGCAGTTGTACTTTAAATAAAAAAAACCTTGCTTTCGGTTCCGCTTTTGCACCCCTTTCCCAAACCTCCTTAATCTGAGCCACTTATTTGAAATGTTCTACTATTAATTATTTTCTGCCCTTTAGGGGATTTAAGCTTCACCATTGGAGCTGTGCAAAGCTGTCAAACTCTGCTTTGGGTATTTGCGAATAAGGTCTTTGCCAGAAGTCACCATTTCCACCAGCACATACTTGTGGTGTTTTATCACTAAGTTAAACCTGCTGAGCCAAGCCTTTGTTGCTAGGACGAAATCTTGCCATTTTCACAGAAAAGCAAAGCCTCTTGTGAAATAATATCATCTTCTTGTGGGAATTGCCTTTCTTTTTCTAGAAATATTAAAGGCAAAGCTCAAAAATATTCTTCCAGTAGGGATCATTTTTTCTGGTAATTGCAGGGGTTGTTGGTATGGTCAGCACTAACACTGTAAACAGAAGCATGCTGTTAATCTAGCATAGGTGCTCTGACTGTAGCAAAAAGGGCTATTTTTCTGAAAATGTTTCAAACAGCTTCCTTGAACAGTTAGATGTCCGAGACTGATAGTCACTGTAATGAAAGACTGATGTCTTGCTTACAAGTCTTGCATTGCAAGACTTCAGTTGCCCAAAATTTTAATATTTCTGATTCCCCTGCAGCTACCTCTTAGCTCCTTTAGCTGGTGCTGCCTTTGAGAGCGAGATATGTGCTCCCCCTTGAGCGGTACAGATGCAAAAAACAGCCTGTTTTCTTCCAAAATTATAAACTTCAGTGGTAAGAATTGATCAAACAGCAGGGCTCTGTATTCTGAATAAAAAGCATGTTATAGATACACTCCTAGGTTGCCTTTAAACAAAGCATCTATTGATGCAGAATGATTCATTGTAAAATAAGTTTTTAAATCAAATAGGCGACCTTGTACTGGCTGCATTATGTTTAATAAATAATGTCAGTCTTTGTTTACTGTCTTCATCTGTGTTGCAATAACTAGAATGACCATTATACTGGAGAAGATGCTACAGCCTTTTGCTCCTAGCCTAAATGAAGCTGTTTGAATAACATTGCCATTGCAGAATTGACACCCCCCCTCCCAAACCAACAACACCATCATAACTACAACTAAGGGGGGGGGGAACCCTAACTTTCTGTGGAAGCCTGTTCCATGTTTTCTATTCTTCTTGCCCAGAAAAGCTGTTTGTTTTAAGAGGGATTCATTTCAAAGCACACTGGTTTCTTCTGGAATATATCTGAGTTA